AAGCAGTGAAAGGGTTAGCATGTGGGCCAAGAGTCTACTCGAGCACGAGGGGCACTGGGAACACAAAATGGGTAGCTGGGGTAAGTGTCTGACTCTTAATTTGGCTCCGGTCATGATCTTGGGTTGTGAGACTGAGGCTTGAGTAGGGCTCCCTGCTCAGTGCAGACTCTGCTTGGGGTTCTTTCCCTCCCCCTCTTCTTCCCCCTCTGCTCCTTGTGTGTGCTCTCTCTAAAATAAATAAAATCTTAACCCCCCCCAAAAAAAAGAAGGGGAAATGCAGAATCAGTTGGAATGGTTTGTGGCAACCTTTCTCAGGCTGAGTCTGTCCTGCTAAAGGTAGGAGAGCCACGCAGCAACAGTTTCGACATAAGGAAACAAGGGGTTTAAATGGAAATGGGGAGGAAACAGGCTAATCAACTTGCAAAAATTAACTGAACCAAATAACTCTTAGTTGCAAACCGTATATTAAAAACTGTGCACTGGTATAAAGTCATATGGGTAAAAAGCACTGCGTTAAGAGCACACAAGGATATCTGTGAAGTACATTCAGATTCTCCTCCGCTAGCAGAAAACACTTTGCCAAAGAAACACGCTGTCAGATGACAAAGATTAAAATCCCAAAAAACCTCCAACAGGATGAAGACTTGTTTTACCTACCAACTCAGGGGCTGTGGAACTTCAACTTTCTGACCGTCCACTTCCAGGTCTTCCAGTTCCTTGAAATACTTGTTCTTTAAGCAATGGAGAATCTCCTTCGCATGGCTATGAAAAAATAAGTAAGTTTTGATCCACTCTGAAAGACTCATATACATTTTATCTCTTTTGAACTTAAGATGCAAGCGTCTTAAAACTAAAACCATCTTTGCACTGAACGCAGACTCTTTCATGGCCGTCCTTCTACTCTATCCCTTCAAAGTTTAAACAACTGTCCTTGCTTCATCGCTAAAAGATGAAGCTAAGCGAATTACTACTGCATTCCTTCGCCCCTAAATATTCCTACGGTTCCTATTAACTTGCAACTCATCTCGGAAAGATGGAACCACAAAGATTTAAAAAGACAAGAGAACCGGAGTTTCGCACAAACTCTGTAATATCACAAATTCTCCCATGTTCCAAAGGGGAGGCATCCTCAGCTCCCGAATGCCCAGAAGTCCCGAGTCTGTCTCAGATCTAATATCCGCGTCCTGCAGCCTCCCGACCTGCCGCACCCCCCCAGCCTGCGCGTTGGACCATGTGCTCCCTCCTCCGTGCTTGCAGACGCGGGAAGCCACAGCGCCGGTAAGCAGCCGCTCGCCAGCCCCCTAACACTTTTCGGAGGCCAGGCGGGGCCGGACGGGTACCGTCCTCCTGAGCTGACCCCAACTCTAGGAAATCAAGGCTCCGCGAAGCCCCCTACCTTTTGTAGCCAGTAATTCGCAAAGTGGCCGGGAGAGGCTCCCGGAGCGCTTCCATGAACTGGTCCCACTCGCCCTCGGGCACGATCTTGAGCTCCTGGTAGTAGTGCTCGAAGAGCTTGTTCTCCTTGACGATCTCGGGGTACCCGCCTTCCCATCCCTGAGGAACGAGACACGCGTCCACCCAGGTCCGGAGGAGCCGCTCCGCGCCGTCCCGCAGGCCGCGGCGGCCCGGAGACGGACGGGGGCCCTGCCCGCCCGCGCCCCGGTCCTACCGCCTCCTGACGCTTGCCGCCACCCTCGGCGCCGTCCTCCGCGCGCGGCGGCCGCTGCTGCTGCTGCTGCTGGAGCCGCCGGCCCCGCGCCCGCCGCCCCATGGCCCACGCGGCCGCGCACGCCGCCCGCACACCGCGCCCCCCCACCGCCGGCCGCGCGGACTTCCGGGCTGGCGCGCGAGGCCCCGCGGGTTCCGCGCCTGCGCCGCTCCCGGGCGCGCTGCGTGGAAGACGTCCAGAGCGCCGCGACCCGTGCTCCCGCAGAGCAGCGAGCGAGGGGTCAGCGCCGGCAGCCCTGGCTGGGAGGGGGCCCCTGGGAAGCAGCTCCGAAGCAACCCGCGCGGGCTCCGGCAGCTCCGCGGACAGCCCGCGGTCGCGCGTGCGCAGAGCGGCGGGGGCGGAGCTCCGGCATCGGGGGCGGGGCCTGACCGCCTCCCGCCGCGCCGGACCGCCTCCGGTCCAACCTGCTGGGCCCGTGCGCTCGCGCCTCGGGCGCGCGGGGAGGAGGGAAGGGGTGCGGCTCGGGCCCCGGCGTCGGCTGCGGGCGTCCGCCCCAGGTAGCCGCGCCCCCCGCCCCCACACCGGGGCCGCCACCTCCCTATAAGTGGCCCGCCGCGGTCGCCAGACCATGGGGCGCGTCTGCAGTCTCCCGCCATGGAGCCGGCCGAGAGGTTCCTGCTGGACAAGCTCGCCTACCTGCAGTGCGCCATGGGCCTCCTGGGCTCCGTGCTGCTCCGGCTGCTGCGCTCGTGCTACGGGCGCTACGCGTCTCCGGGCTCCGCCTTTCGGGTGCCGGCGCGGGCTGCCTGGGCGCTGCAGGAGCTGCCCTCGCTCGCCGTGCCGCTGTGGGTGTGCACCGTCACGGCGGCCGAGCGCCTCCGCCGAGCCCCCAACCGCATCCTCCTGGCCATGTTCCTCGTCCACTACGCGCAACGGTAACGACCGGCCGCCTCGCGCCTCCCCGCGCGCCCCTGCTCCCCGCCCCCCCGGCGCCCCATCTGCGCCCGCCGCGGCGCCCTGGCCCGCACCTCTGCCTCCCTCTCCACCGCCCTCCTCCCCGGCCCCCGTGCCTGCCTTCTTCCTTCCTCGCTCCCGTGCCTACTCCTGGCAGCCTCTTTCCCGCTGCCCTTCCCAGCCGCCCCGCTCTGCACACCCGCCCTCGCGCCCTGTCCCTGCTGACCCTTCCCTGGTGTCGTCTCGCGGCGCCGGGCTCCCTCTGCCCGTGCTGTTCTCGCTCTGTACCTGGCCCCTGCCCCTTCTCCCCTGGAAGGAGAGTTTAGCTTAGCACAGTCTGGAAAAGTGGGCGGGGCGTGGGCGCGGTGGGAGAAGGTGAGAGAGGGCTGGAAAGATGGCGGTGGAGGAGCTGAGTGTGTGACCTGGCAACTGCAGAGGGGAGGAAGCTTGATGATGCGAAGGCTCGCTCGCTCAGCGCTGTCAGAGGTACAGCAGCGAGAAAAACATTTCCATTCTTAGTGACCTCCATACAGTGGGCGTGCGATCGGTAACCACCTGAGTGCCTTCCCTCCATCAGAATGTGCAGCTTTGACAATCTGACTAAAATGTCTGATAAACCATTGTGCAGTTTTGGGGGGCTGAAAATTGTGGATTTATTCTTGTATCCCAGAAATG